AACGGTGATAGAGGCACGTTGGTTCAAATTATTGTGGTTCATCAAGATCCGGTCAGGTATATTCTGGAGATGTTCTGGGGAACGCATTTAATGAATTTTGCGACTTGAGAAGGAGTTTATTGTCTCTTTCCGGAAACTACATTGAAGCACAAAATGGTGGTATTGCATAGTTGTGAGGAGGCGGAGTTGTCAGCATACGACAAGTACTGTCAGCGAGGGTTTTTACGTGTGAGGCGCAAGGAAGTTGAAGATATCAGTGAGTTTAGGGGTGAGCGTGATGTGTATGATCATCATACATGCAGGGTTGGTTTTTACTTTGGTCTTGATGCAGATCCAGTTGGAGACGCAGTTAGTGTTGGTAGATTCACAGCTGGTGAAGGTGGAGTTCGGTTCAAGAGGAGATGGATCCTTGATGATTTGTATGACAAGTCTGCTGATGATTGTGAGTGATTATTTGTTCTATTGTTTTATTTGTTGTTCCAATTGACATTATTTAGAGAGTTTGTTGACTTTGTGAGAATTTTTTTTTTTTTTTTTTTAACTTGTTGGGTGAAAAAATATATATATATATATATGTGGATTGTATACTTTGTTTCTTTTCTAGGTCTTGATGAGAAAGTTCGGGGGCCCCCAGGCTTTGCCTGGGGGGGCGAAGCCCGATCGCTACGGAAGCCAGTGACTGAACGATAAGCATGCTTATCATACAGTCAGCCTGGGGCCCGACGGTTACAAGAACTGGTCAACAATTTCATAGAGGAGAAACCATCTGTCGTAAAAATATATATCTCCGCAGACACTTAAACAATCATCAACATCAACGACCCCTTGACTTCTCCCAAGAAACACACACATAAACACCATACTTACAGTCATACCAACGGACCTCTGTAAACCTACCGCTTCCACAATTTTCCATCATGCTCCCTCGACAGTAACGAGGCCCTCCACAAAAACCTCATCCAACTCATCCAACACTAACACAAACAATAAACTGCAAATGAGACCGAACATCACCTTATTGCAACAACCCAGACAACACATTCCACCTCTCTCACTTATCCCCAAACAAGGAAACAGTCACTCGACCACCCATCACCATTCTCACAAACAAATCGTCAATAACATGCCGTATAAAACCAATCAACTACCTAACGTCAACATAATGAACAAACCAGTAACCAATAAACATAGCTCTTCAACCCTTGACCTGACCAACGGCTTCTTCAAAAGCTCACATTGAAGACCACCGGGACAACTTCTTAACCCTTGAAAATAAGTCCAAACAGCTTTGTATCTCTGAACTAGAATCCTGAAACCACGCCAACTTTGTCGAATCCGACCCAACGAACAGCTCCCAAACATGTAAACGCTGAGACTCTCTCATACAGAAACGACCAAGGAATGGATCTTCCAAGTTTCGATATCCCAGTAAACGGAAGAGGGCCTGTTACAATACAAGCTCTCACAATCCCATATACTTCTTCGATATGATAAGACAACCCCCTTACACGCCGAGTGAGGGTATTCAGCCTGCACGATCCGTAGGTATGTGACTAAGATACCGGCTGCATCGCCTAGACGAGATTACCTACCTAATGTCTACGCAGCCTAACCTGTTAGAGACCTTTACTACCATGCGAGACATAGGCGAAGAATTACAGTGAAAGACGCCTTTCTACGTCCCAGATGAAAACGACCACACGGATGAGATATGCAATTGAACTCTGTCCCTTGCCCGTCCAATAGACAACCGTAGCCCATCCTCGGCCACCTAATACTGCCTATGGGTATTCTTTCTTCCCGCTGACCAGGTCAGCAGCCACGCTTTATATGTTCTTGCCACTTCCACTCCATCGAGGCCCATATACATTCATCACAGGCAGCTTCTTTTATGTCCAATGACAAAGCTTCCTTAACGTTCACAACAAAGTCATTGAAATCAAGACCATCCGTAATCAATCCCATGTCCCTTGTGAATCTTTCACCTTCACTCAAATGATATATGATGCTCAGCAAGGTGGGAAGACGAGGGCGATTTTGCTGAATGTGCACAGCCAAGGCATGGATAGCCGCTTGAGAGTATTTTCCACCCTCGCTGTAAAGAGTGAGAAGAGGGAATATCACTCAAGATATAACCACTGACATTACGTCGCAAATTGACTGCCCGTCAATTGACAAATATCCTTTGGTCCGCTCACATAGAAGTCAATAGCCTTTTTCGCCATCGTCTCCGAGGATGTGAAAGAGAATTCCAGATGATGTACCCATTGCTCAGGAGTTATCACGCTTCGTCATCCCAGCATGTAGAACAGTACTCATCGACGAGGCCAAGCAAAGCAAAGCAAACATAAAGTCAAGAAGATAATCATAGTAAACTACAAGAGCGTCTTATACCCGTTTCCTCTGTCAGAGTTTGAGGAAACAGCCCGCAGCACCAATACGCAAGCAAGCATAGTACCAATGGCACGATTTCTGCGCAAGTAGCCGGTAAGACTAGAACCTCTGCAAAGCTCAACCAAAGCGACTTGGGCAAATTATCAAGTATGGACGAGCACTTTCAGGTTACTGTAGCATTGCCATTCAAGGAATTTGGTGATTTAATCCGGTGAATGCAGTTGAGCAGCGTTCAGCTACGCTGATCACGTTCTTTGGTGCCCTGCTCCAGGCGAAACCTCTAGTTCGACAAGTCTTTCCGCCGAGGCATGGAAAACTGGTTCATAAGGGGAGCTGCGTATGGCCTGTGCCGGCAGTAACATCCGAGAATGATCATGAGAGGGAAATACTTGTATCAAAAAATTGAGCCTGCAGCAGCTTCCCTGCCACCGGAGGTAACTGTAATAGGATGGCCAGAAAAAGAATTTGATGAATCAAGTACGGTACAGTAGCATTAAAGGGTCATCCTTTACCTTTCGTCAGTGAAAAGGACGGACGGTCATTGCGTACAGTACACATGACTACCCAATTTAGCAGAGTGATTGTCAATGTCAAAAACACATGGCATATGGGCTATAGATCTTTTGTCAACGCATTGGGCCAAATCAGATTCGCCGTAATTTTGCACCCATTGCTGACACTGAGGAATCAGCAACTATTTTTGTCGAATCTCTTGCCTTCCATACGAGTATCAATCTGTTTAGTATTCCCTGCTAGGAGAACTCGTCTTACACCTGTTGGTAATATGAGGAGAGAAAGGGCCGACATAAGCGGTTACCAGGGTTTGAGGCCTCACAATATCCTATATATGTCTGGCTATAGAAAGAAATATTGCTCTTGGAGGCACTGGCTGTAGAGATTTGGGGTTGCCCATTGATTCCCAGCCGTACCGTTAGGCGCTGCTTTTTCCCATTTCTCCCTGATTACTGGGCCCGAGTTGCGTACTGAAGCCCAAATACAGTTGTCCTGAGCGGCTTCTTCCCGGTCTGTTTCCAAGGCTTCTTTCACTCTTTCAACGAAATCGTCGAGGCCCGCGCCATCGGGGATACGGCCGGTTTCCAGGAGGACATCCTGTATGTCCACGCAACTTGTCAGTGCCGCCAATAAATGAGGACGTTTCTCCTTAAGATGTCGATGCAAAGAATCGATATCTTCTTTTGAGTACTTTCCGGAGGCGCTATTTCCATTAGAATATAAGGTACTTATTTGAATAATACATACCAAATGTCACTAATTGATTGCCCGTTGATTAATAAATATTCCATGACTATGCCGGCCATCGCCTTCATAGCTCGACGACATTTAAACTCATACACGAGCAGGGAGAGATTTCTGAGAAATTTGTCTAGGTCGGCGAAAACAGCGAAACCATTCTTGACATCTCGCCGGCGTTTGAACTCTGACATGAGGACGAAGAGATTTTAGAGAAATGGTCTAGGTCAGCGGACGGATTTAGGTAGTGTTATTCATAGAGAGTAATATGGAGAATTAGGTGTCTCGGTCCGGGAAGCTTGACAAAGGCGGCACTTTTTAATGGTTCCTATCAGCATGATGAGAGAAGTTCTCTCCGAGCACCATCGCCTCGAGCAAGGGCACTGACGGCCAGCTCTACTGTATGAAGCTGAATGAGCAAATAGGAAGAAACTGCGTCGTAGCAGCATCTAAAAGATTCAACAACTGTCACTTAGTAGGTGCAGATCCTCAGTGGACAGCAGCATCCTTCACGACTGGCACGATGCATCACTATGTTAAAGTGATCAACACTGAACTCGTGCAACAAACCATTTTCAGAAAGCTTGGCCCTCTAAGATCCACTTTTCTTATAAAGCAGTAGATTTGATCTCAATAACACGCAATGGAGGACTAACGTGCAGTGACCGTGAAACAGCACATGTATGTTATACATTAAGCGGGTTTATTGGCATCTGATGCATCATAAAACTGATTGGTGCACAACTGCCAGACAATGCTGTGGTTGAACCAATTGACCCGCCACATCTATCCTTTAATTCTCGGCTGGATAGCTTGGTGGGTCTAGCAGATAGTCAACCATGAAAATGCGTCTTTACCTTGAGCTACGCTCGACTAAAGTGAACCACTTAATGCCAAGATGACAAAGCGTCCTCCAATACGGAGCCCATGAGCAATTAGAAGACACTCTTGAGGACACTAGATAACAGAGAGCACAGGTAGGGGAATCACTCTAAGTTTTAGGATACAGACAACTTTGCTAAAACAAGGAGACACTACGGAAGAGGAATAGCAAGGGAACTGGGTATGTTAGTGGGCAAACACTCGTCAACAAATTTGTTCGAAACAGCGACCGGGCTTCAGGCCCCTACAAAGCGGCAAATTTGGAGCGATGAACTCACTGTCAGGGCATGGAATCGATAAATCTCCCATCTAAATCTTGAGCACATATTTTATGACCGAGCGGGCACAAGTAGTCTCCATACTTCGTGCTATTTGATTAGATTATGTACGTATCGTGCAGCTCCCATATTGCGTTCTTGCTTGGTTCTGTTCCAGCAATGCAGTATGGACAACTTCACCTGGCGGGCCGTTAAAACCAGTAAGATATTAGGCTAAAGATGCAGATATTGAGGAACAACGGCGAACCGCGCCAGCCGAGATCACCAAAACCCTTTAGGAATGTAAAGTCTACGTTTGGTCATCTTCCATTATTAACAAGCTATGTGCAGCTTCTCATGGGTCTACACACTAGTAATCCCTAGTCAAGAATTTTCTCACCAGACATCTGGTTGCTTCGACTTTTCTTTCATCACCACAAACATAAACAGAGTTATCATTGCCGCAAACAATAGTGGGCTAAGAAGAGGGCTGGTCAGACTTCTAATTACAAGAAACCAAGGCTGTGGCAAGGCATGGCTCCTGAGAATCAACACACCCTCAAGCGCTCCCATTTCTCGGTCTGATAAAAAGAGCCTTTGCGCGGACTGCCTCGATCATGGCTCCTGTTTTTGCGTCCGGAATTTTGATGCATCCTTCCATATACGTCTTGCGCCCTTCTACCTTGACCGGCCATACGCTGAATGACAGAGGGGCCCGAGGATTAACTGGCCGCAAATAAGATAGCGTCAGATTGGCCGTAAGTGCCCCCCGGCAGCAGTCAGCGAAAAGGTTGTCCAAGTAAAATGCTTGAATTCCTCCGTGAAGCTTTCCCGGGTAGTAGCAGATTCGTTGTCGGGGTTCCAGGCTGGTCATATATTCAGCCTCTTTGCCAAGGTCAACTGTACGGATAGTCGGGCTATAGTCACCCATCAGGGCTTTCTTCAGTATGTCACCTGGGAGCCACTGGGACAGACACGCACAGAATTAGCGACACCCACCAGATAATAAAATGATCGAAAACGTACCGTTCTGGAGCTTTTTTCTGACACATTTGCAAGCGGAGAGTAGAAAGAGTTCGTGTGGTAAGCCGCCTTCAAACAGTGCTTCCGAGCAGTCTGCAACCGGCTGCTCGGTGCTGTTGTCGAAAAGGAGCGCATCACTTCAAGAGGATTATTCTCACTGAAAGTACTTTCTCTTGTCTTGCCCTGTGCCCGTCAGAAGACTGCTCTGAGCGACCTTCAGTTTGCGGATTGTTATATACCCATTCTTCAATAACAGGTACGTATTTTATAACTCAGAGGAATCTCAGTCAGCCGCGACAGCGCCAAGATTGCTGTTCCTCAAAGACTTTTCCTAGCACCCATCAGCACACTTTTTTTTTTTTTTTTTTTGAATGTCTGGTTGATCACTTTGGATAAAGAATCAACATTCCTCGGTGGATTGAAGGTAGGCACAGTGGGTCCAGGTTGCTAGAGCCGGAATGAGCACCCCGAGAAGCGCCGAGGGTCAGTAGGACTGGATGTTGCGCTCCTAGCACACGAGCAAGTTCGGGACACCCCCTTTGCCATCTTTGTTAACTGCCTCTAGGGAGACCCTATTCTTGACGCACTGTGCGAGTTGATCTCACAGTTCACGTGCTATCATGCTATCAAACTCTACACTGAATCTACCAAAGCGTCGTTGAAAAGATGTATACCGAGACAAGATGTCCGTACAACTTCTCGGGACCAGTAATATGGTCAACAGGGTGCCGGAACTTTAATAGGGCCCACAAGAAGTGGGTAAGCAGCCAGTGACAGCCGCAGCGACAATAATGCTGACTGATGCTGTCAATCGGTGTGGAGACAGAGCTTGAGGCGCAGGACGAAGACCGCAAGCCGCTGCTGACGCTCCTTGATGCTGGCAATGACATGGCAGAGAAGTTAGAAGTGTGGTTCTCGCCCTTGAGCTTCTCAGCGATTGCGCTTAGTGGAGCTGCAGACAATGACTATGGGGCCCAGTTCATGCACTCTCGTGGTCGCTCACACGGTTCAACTCGATCCAGGCCAGTGAGTATTTGCCGGTCTTCGTGACTATCCGAATAGAGTCTCTAGAAGGCTCAACGCCAGTGGTCAACCTGACCTGGGATGGACCAGCCCCATAAGTGACGCAATCGATGAACATCAAGGGCATGACTCCACCGATCTCTTCCAGATTCCTTTCCAAAAAGGCTGGCGCTATTCACCTATAACACATGGTTGCCTGAATGACGTCTTTTATCCACGAATACAGCTTTGTACTCTCTTTCTCCCATCGTCCACCATTTGCTGAAGACCACCTTTCGCAAACGATTTACGTAAAAAAAAGAGGCTTACAAAAGCTGGTGAACTATTCGTTCACTATACTGACAAAATTACCCTCGTGAGCTACAGCTCCTTTCTTCAACTCAACAAGCTCTTCCATGTCCACATAGTTGCATCTTTCAAGACGATCGGCAGAAAAGGGCGTAAGGCCCAATTCATTAGGTCTTTTGCAGACGCACGCTTATCGATGTCGTCGGTGGAAGCCTTCTGTTCAGAAATCGATTGTGTCCGTCTTATGCTATAATCTTCGGGCTGCGACCCTGCAGTTCTCCATATCCCACACCAAAAAAGAGAGCCTGATCTCAGGACTGGTGGAAATGGACAGCAGCAGTGTCTAGATATGTGTGGTGTTGCGATTCCAAGGGTGAGACTCTACTGGTTTTGTCGCGATACAATTTGGAAAACGCTCAGGTATGAAGGAATTCTGTAAAGGATCAAACTGCTTGGGAATCAACCAGATGCTCGTTTTGTAAGTAAATCCTCGGGCATTTCAAACGAGCATTATAACAATCGATCTACCACTAGGTCACAGCAGGTTTAATTCTGGAAAGCAAGCCATTTTAATTAGTTTAGTATGACGGGCTATGCCCAACAGAAGTGAACTAAAGCATCCCTGTAGACCATAAAAGGCACGCTCATATGTGTGCGTCATATTGTGCCTTTTCGCCCACTGAGATACTGAAGCGTGCGCTGGCCTTCCAGCAGCCACGCAATCCATTCCGTCAACCTACTTAGCCCGTTTCCCCAGTCTAGTACAGTGGCACCCTACTTCACCTTCCATGTTGCATTCAAAGAGACTTGATTTCGAACCCTATTCAAATGATACGCTAAATCAGATACGCATTAGTCTGTAACTATCAGTTCCGTATGTAACGAGTACCAATACGGGCTTGAGTAAAATACCGGTATGGGGCATACCAACGCTTCTAGAAGACACTGTGCAACTTATCAAACAGGACACCTTGCTCCTGAGAGTCAGTGGCATTCCTGAGGCTGTCCAGAAGACTGGACAGCTATAAATAAGTAACTGCAGAATGTGGCAAATCTACTGCATAAATGCCACAAAAGCCCAGGATTTCTATATCTAATAATTTATATGGAAAACACAAATCCCCATGCAAAAGAGCAAAGCTAGATGACTGGTTGGTTGCAGGTGGTCAGCTATTGAATTATATGACCGCTTGCCCGATTTGGAAGTGATTTGATTCCACCGAGCCGTCCCTTGGCGATAATATTCGGCGGTATTCGCCCAATATTCGGCATATATTCGTTCATTAATAAGCCGAACCCCTGCCTCTAGTGGGAGGCATAAATAGTAGCTAGATAGTCATTCGTTTAGAAGAATCAGACCTTCATTGGTTTTCAATTGGCCATATAAATTACTAGTAGTTGGCGAATTGAACTAGTACTATTGATTTCAACATCAGCAATGTAGGACATGAAACAGGTTACCCTTCTCCTTCCCCACCCTGAGTGTTTCTTCATTTACCCCCTGTACGCCATTACCTCTACACCTGCGCAACATGAATTCCAAACACTTTAGGCCATAGATTCCTTCCGTCCCTCTGATGTCGATGATGGCTTCCCTCACACCTGATGACTACACCATCGCGTGGATCTGTGCCTTGCCTCTAGAGGCGGCAGCGGCCCGCGCCATGCTCGACAAGACCCACACCCCACCTTGATGGTCTACTACCGATCCCAACGCCTATGAATTCGGCGAACTAAGCGGGCATTACATAGTCATTGCCCACCTTCCAGATGGCGTATATGGAAAAGTGTCTGCCGCGGCTGTTGTGTCTCGCATGCGCTCAACATTTCGCCGGCTTGAGTTTGGTCTGATGGTGGGAATTGGAGGAGGAGTCCCGGGAGGGAAAAATGACATTCGTTTAGGCGACGTTGTTGTCAGCAAACCAGGTCCAAATCATAATGGGGTCATACAGTATAATTATGGCAAGTCAGCTCAGGGCGGAAAATTCGAGCAAACAGGCATCTTGAACAAGCCACCGCAGATTCTTCTGAGGCATATGAGTCAATTTAAGGCGAGACAGATGATTGAGGCGGAGGACGCTGTTTTAAAAATGGTGGAGGAAGTGGTAGAACGAAACCCCAACTTGAAAGACAGATTCTCTCACCCTAATGAGCACTCAGATTTTCTTTTCCTTTCCTCCTATCGCCATGTTGACGAGGAGGATACCTGCGAAAAGTGCGACAAAGAGCAATTAGTCCAACGACCACTGCGTGATACAAGGACGCCTTATATCCACTATGGGTTAATTGCCTCCGGAGATCGGGTGATTAAGGACTCAGAAATGCGAGACCGTCTAGCTCAAGAACATGGGATACTTTGTTTTGAGATGGAGGCAGCAGGCCTTATGGATGAGCTTCCGACACTTGTGATCCGAGGGATATGCGATTATTGCGACTCCCATAAGAACAAAAAGTGGCAAGGGTATGCAGCCTTTGCTGCTGCTGCTTATGCAAAAGTGTTCCTATCAGGAATACCAGGACCACCATTGATTAGTAGTATGATACCTTGATCCTCTTACCAGAACTGGTAGAGAGGACGCTGCTAACAGATGAACTAGTTGACATCAAATTACGGGAATACTATGAGATGGACAATCGTCTGAGGATTAAACGCCTTTCTGGAGATTCTCTGGATATGGAGCAATGCTACATAAATCTTTCAATAATAGAATACCAACACAAGAGCAAGGATACGAAGTTGCGAACAGAGCCGCCGTCCTCGGAGTTTTCACTATTTAATCGCCTGAAAATAACGGCAGATACTCCTGAAAGGGAAGTCACACTTCCAGACCTATTTTGTGACCGGAAACTTCCGGATGGCCAAATGATCCAGCCGAGACGGATTTTGATTCGAGGACGCGCGGGCGTTGGGAAAACAACACTTTGCAAGAAGATTGTGCATGACTTCTACCACAAACGGATGTGGGCGACCTTTTTTGATCGCGTTATATGGATACCTTTGCGAAGGCTCAAGGGGATGTCAAGCCTGGATGAATTCTTCCGCCGGGAGTACTTTCCTTTTCAAGCCGAGCGTGATGATCTAGTTTCCAAGCTCTGGAAAACGGTTTTTGATCAAACCCATAAAAGAACTCTCTGGTTATTGGACGGCCTGGATGAAATATCAGGATATCGACATCCTTCTGGAACCGACTTGGCCGAAATATTCAACAGGCTTTTAAGTCAAGATAATGCGGTCATTACATCCCGTCCATATGCTGCAAACATTTCTGGTCTTGCTCCCTTTCACCTAGAACTAGAGACTGTCGGGTTTCATCCACAACAGGTGCAGGCTTACTTGGACAAAACCATGAAGGACCCCGTTATTATCGATCAAATCCGCTCTTTTATCCAAAGCCACTGGCTAATCCAGGGACTTGTTCGAATACCAATCCAGCTTGATGCATTGTGCTATAGTTGGAATAAGAACAATTTCCATTCCGATGCTTTACCACGTACCATGACAGAAATATACCAGGCCATTGAATTAAAGTTATGGAAAAAGGACATCTTGAACTTGGAGAAGAGAAAAAATGAAGAGTTGTTGAGTGAAAGCATGGTCCAGAAACTGCGAACACGCTCGCAAATTCAGTCCCATGTGGAGACTGAGATGAGATTATTGGAAAGCCTTGCCTTTACAGGGTTATACAGTGACACTATTGAATTCCATCAAGACCATCGAGATTGGCTATATGAACAACCGCAATTTTGCCAGATGTCGGATGATATGCTTGACCGACTTTCCTTCCTGCGCACATCAGATACTTCAAGCCAGGACAAGAGTTATCATTTCTTACATCTTACATTTCAGGAATTTTTTGCTGCTCAGTACTTTGTCCGGTGTTTTATATCCGAATCCAGCGAACCACTTCTCTGTCTCAAGCGCGACTATGTAAAGGGAATACATACAATGAGAGTATCACCGGAGATATTTCTTCAAAGAGAGAAGTACGGTGGACGCTATGATGTGTTCTGGAGGTTTGTCACAGGGCTGCTGCGTAATACTGATGAAGAGCAAGTAAGCTCACTCCTTGAACAAATCGAGGGGGAGCCACGGGATTTACTCGGTCCAGCACACCAGCGACTGCTTATGCACTGCTTTAGCGAGATACCTCAGCCAGAAGATTCAGAACTGAGAGGGACAGGCAAAATTTTCTTGCTACATCTTCGAGAAGAAATGGAACTTGGATGCATACAATGGTCGGACTATGAGGACAAATCACTTAAGGAAATGTACCTCTGCAGTGAGACTGAATTTCCAGAGCATCTTCTGTGCAAGTTACTTGAGAAAGATTTCTTGCAAAGAGGAAGCTCCCACAAAAAAAAGATTCTAACAGCATTAGCCCATCGGTGGCACATGTCTTCCAAGCTCATGAGTATAACCGCAAATTTTATGGACGACAGTGACTCATCCGTGAGGCGAGCTGCTATTAAGGCCTTAGGCAGACAATCTCCCTGGCCGCCCGAGATCCTACAGGCGATCATGTGCCGATTAGACGACGATGACAAGGGTGTAAGGCAGGAAGCTGTTGACGCCCTAGGCATACAATCTCCCTGGCCGCCTGAGATCCTGCATGCAGTCACGTGCCGGTTGGATGATGATGCCTCGTATGTGAGGCAGGCAGCTATTCAGGCCTTAGGTACACAATCTCCTTGGCCGCCTGGGATCCTGCAGGCGGTCACGTGCCGATTGCGTGATGCTGCCTCGTATGTGAGACATGCAGCTGTTGATGCCTTAGGCAGACAATCTCCCTGGCCACCAGAGATCCTGCTGGCGGTCACGTGCCGGTTGGATGATGATACCTCATAAGTGAGACAGGCAGCTGTTAATGCCTTAGGCACACTGTCTGCCTGGCCGCCCAAGATCCTGCAGGCAGTCACATGCCGATTAGATGATAATGATGCTCTTGTGAGGTGGGCGGCTGTTAATGCCTTAGGCAGACTTTCCGCCTGGCCCCCTGGAATCCTGAAAGCGGTTACATGCCGACTAGTTAGATGACGACGACGCAGATGTGAGACGGGAAGTTGTTGATGCCTTAGGCAGAAAATCTCCGTGGCCACCCGAGATCCTGCAGGCGATCATGTTCCGATTAGACGACATAGACTGGAGAGTGGCGGCCAAAATAGAAGCTCTTTTATGGAAACATCATGATTTCCTTTCTCCTTTCTTCAATTTGCATGCTGATGCTGCCTCAGGATTGTGCAAAATTTGGGCTCAAAGAAGTATCTATGGGATGTTTGTCTGCTATGTGTGTGATGGGAACGTATATTTTGAGACATCAGAAGGACGAAGATCAATGTCTTTATCCACAAAAAACGCCCAGCTGCTCAAGCATACTTTATGGGTCGCTACCGCCAACAGCCCGATATTGCGTTTGGTTTACAGAGGTGGGAATCCATTTAGGTGATTGAGAAATTGATCAGATTCCATTTTGTTTTATCTTCGGTTATCTTCAACTAAGAAGGGTCTGGGAGAGCAGCTAAATTTGTTCTAAACATTTTTGCCAGTGCACCAATGATTCCCTAGATTGAGAGACGTTCTGTATAAAACATCTTTTTTGATTGGTAGGCCAGAGTTCCGGAAATTTCGTTCGGCACTCTGCTCTCATCTACTCACAGTATCAATGAACGATTCTAGGAATGTATTCTTGGTCAGAGTTGTCAGCGTAAGCTTGCCATTTTTGATGAAGGCTTTTAGCTTAGCAAAGAGCTCTTCAATAGGACTAAAGCCTGGTGAGTATGGAGGCGAATATACAAGCAAGACGCCTGTTCATGAATACATTACACTTAACCCTCTCAGAATGGTGGAAAGAAGCATAATCCATACCAAGAACAGATTTCGGCTCCGGCCATTTTCCACAACGATGGAGCAGCTCCGCGACAATCAAAAACCAGAGACATCAGCCGAGCCTTAAAAGATGTTGGAAATACGACCAACATGACCCCATCTTGAGCATAGGCTGGGAGAATCTGGTATCGCTGATCACAAGGGAATTTAACCACTTTGTAATACAATTCCATCACATGACCCTCACATGATCTGACGACCTGCGAAGCGCTGGATGCTTGTCTATTGTTGGTACCGGGGACGGGACCAGAAATCTATTGAAATATAATACCACTAGGCTAAAAAGGTGTCCAGACATGATTCCTATGAGTCTAGGGTCTCATTATCCATAATTATATTTTTTCAGCAAAGTCTAATGACTAAGCGAGGGAGCTTAAGCTGCAGGGGACGGGGTCACGTTCAAACAGACCCTCTAATATCCTTTTCCGTGAATTGTTACTCTTGAGCATTGATGTTGAGCATGTGCGTGCAAGGTCCAAAAGAGTACAATACCTCAAACAAAAGATAATCCGGATCGTGCACGATCTGCGGCACAAGAACTCAAGGGAGATTTAATGTTTGTGCAAAAAAATTGGTAAACTCAAGTTCTTTGTACTAGCATGCAATGACATGTGAGATGGCAACATGGCTGATAATCACACCTGCAGCCCTGTAGAAGACAATATTAGCCGCTATTCAATGCACACTCTCATATCTCCCCTACTATTATGCCTGCATTCCGAAAGTGGCCTTCAGCACTCTCTTTCCTTGCACCAACATAATCAACGCACCACCAAAAGAAGGTTTTAAAGCCTTGATCAGGATTCCCCTCATATGCTGGCCAAGCTTTCTTCAGATTAAGCTTTCGGCTCAGCAAAGAATTCCTCAATGGGATTGGAATCTGGTAAGTAAGGTGGAAAGTACAGTAGCTTGACTCCCGCATCAGATAACACAACTGCTTGACGGGTTCTGAGCGATGGAAGGACGCATTATCCATGACAAGGACGGATTTTGGCTCTGGCCATCTGCCGCAATGCTGGAGAAGCTGCTTAATAAGATCTTTAAAGAATGCGGCATCAGTTGAACCTTTAAAGATACAAGACATCATGACGCCATCTTGAGCATATGCAGGTAGTTATTGGTAGTATTCGCCCCGATGAAATCTAGATACTTGGACTGATGTCAACCCAAGAGGGGCCCAACCAGTCCGTCTAGATCCTACAGTACCAGCTTGTCACACCCAGACTCATCAACAAAAACCAAGATATGTGTGAACTTGGATAATTTATGTTGATAAAAATCTCGCAGCTGAGTGTTCTGCTCTTTGGCTTTTTGCTGACATTTCTTCTTCGTCCAGCCTTCCTGGGAAAGGGCTCGTTGGAGGGTTGATGATGACGGTAGTATATTGAATTCATCCCATAGAAAGTGGGCCATTCCTTCAATGTAGAGGCATGGTTTTCAGTCTGATTGTCGCAAAAGGTATCGGTAATTGAGACACTGATGCTTGGTGCCTGGCCAGTGCGGATTTATGGGGATCTGGCAGTGCCAAACTGCCGCATGTTCTTGCGGATATTTGTGATAGAACGCTCAGAACATTTGCAAGCATGGCCATTTGCAATGTAGTTGGTTTTTGTTGCTGTGTATCATATGGACGATCATTATACGCTGCCAGGACTCAAGGTGTTGTGCCATTTTGCAGTGTTCTGATATGTTGAAGGAGCCTTAATTTAAGGTGACACCATGGCAGTTATGGATGTGTATCTTTAGAACCGTCACAGTACAGCTTACTAAGGCACTTCATTGTCCATTGCCATACAATACGGGTATTGAACAGAGAACCGTATCTTGGCTTAACCATATATGGATAATATGTCTTGGCACATTAGGGTTTGGAAGCAAGTGTGCATGTACTGGACATGGAAGGTGAAGCTGGGTGCCACTGTATACGACCTGGACACGGGGCCAGAAACATGCAGAGTCCTCGCACGAACTTTTCCGATACCTATCGGGATGTGTTTCTTGCTGCTGTGAGAGCCATCCGCAGTCACCCTGATCCAACGTCAACTCAGTACGGCGACGAAGGTAGGCGGTTCCGCTGGCAAGACTGATTGTTAAGACGACGGACCGTACCCTTGCACTAACGATCTGACTCAACACTGCCGCACATGCTAGTAGGTGTAGGTTTTCTCGCTATGTAGATATGCAAGACATGGAAGGTATGAGCCGCTGGGTCGAGCAGCTCTGACTTCGCATCAGTGACCAAGTGCTGAATCTCATCCGGGGTCCAGTTGAGGATCCGACGGAACGGGGCGAGGCTGAGGGGTTCAATGCTGTCAAAGAAAGCTCTTCCATACCAGCCGCCAATGTGTCGCATCCAGCAGTCTGAATGCCATCTGTTTAAGGGCATTACGAATTGCTTATGCTTAATATCGGTAAACCCAGCATTTTGTAGATGGTCGACTATCGCGTGAAACTGGTGGGAGATTGGCCGCGCAGCATCGCTGGTAGCCTGTCTTAGATTATGGTACCAATTATATAAGGCCGATCCATCCAAAGCGCGACCTTCACACCTCAGTTGGAAGTCAATATCGACTTGCTCGAACCAAGCATCAGGGCGTAGGTGAGCACTGACCCTATGGTAGAGGCTTGGCCAATTCACAACACTCCCACCGCACATCTGAAGTCGTATCACGTCCCAACTCTCCTCACCCAACTTCGCCCAGGGAAATTCAAAGTCAAATAGGGCGTAAAAATGGCAGTTGCGAGGATGTCCGGCGGGCTGAATGGAGGAAAGATCTACTCCCACGACAAATGAGTCTGGAAAGGCCTCTGCAAAATCAATCGCCCAGATACCCGTTCCACAGCCAAGATCGAGAACTCTGGCATCAGTGGGGTAAGGGACATGAGTCAGTCAGCCAGTCACCTGTAGAAGGGCATGATGCAAGAAATCAAGGCGATCCTGCTCCTCTTCATCATTCGGCAGCATATATTTTGCCCTGTGAAACTCGTGGTACGTTCGATCATTCTCCTTATGTTCAGCCGCTTCTCAATGTCCAGTGGCCCTTTGTTGTCTTCCGGATGCTGTTGTCCGTCGCAACTATGCAAGAAAAAACCTCGAGAAAGTGAGCTCCTTTGCGTTGGACACTGGTGAATGCCGTCCATAGACCCACCTAATATAGAAGTGAGGCTCATCATATCTGGGCCTTTTTGAAGCGTTCTGGGCTGGGTGACCAGAGACAGAGGAGAAGATCATAGTGGATAACGTGTAAACTTCGGCCAGCCTATTCTCTTGATCCCATGGTGGGGGTTCCATACAGTAAGAGTACTATGTGTGCCGCACATCCCCATCCTTATGTCTATTACCGTTGGCCAGATGTCCCCACAGCTAAATGCAGCGCTAATCCTCTCTGAAAGACTGCTTTTAGAGTACATGTATAACTCCTCAAGAATTTGTCTTCGCGTAGCATCCTTAATGTCCAGCTTCAGGATATGATAGTAGGTCCAGGGGTCTACACTCTGTTCTGAGTATTCCACAGACCTTGGCTCCCCCTGGTGCTTTGGACAGTAACAAGCTCTCTAATATGGTCCCGTAAATAAACAGTCAGTTGTTCTCGGTATCTTATTGTCTTCTCTATTAAACAGTAGAACGAGTAAAATAGCATACCCAATAGCTACTTCTAAACTGGTCAACTTGAATCGACACTCGGATGACAGTATTTTCTAGTTTATATACATCAGTCTCCTCTATTTTCAGCCGAACCCGTTAATCTCAAAGATTGTTAAGCAAAAGCAGGACAGAAACATCCTCTCTCATGGTCTAAGCTGCACTATGTGAGACGCAGTGGCTGCCACCAGCACAGTAGTACCCGCCAGTTTGTTCTATCCAGTGGGTAACCCATGACACCGACCCCATTTCCCGCAGTTTTGCCTGTGCTTCCTGCTCTCAATGGCGGTTTGATTCCATTTGCTCTCTGCTTGTAGAT